AAACGCTTCCCGGCGTGGGGGCGGGACCGAGGCCAGAACAGACGTGGCTTTCGACCGAGGGTAAACATTTCCGGTTGAAACGTACCTGAAGCCATGGGTGGCTAAAAGACCGGCGTGGGCGGAAATAGCTTTGCCCCTACCGGAAGCCTCTTCCTCAACAGCAATAACTTTATTGTAACGTGTGGTTGAGGGTTTTGGAGAAATGTGGATGGGGAATTGAAGGACTCCGAAGATCTACCGCTTCTTTGCTGTCAGATGGGTAGTGGGTGATTTCCCTGTTGGCATAGCAACCAGGAGCACAAGTTTTTCCAATATGCAACTTCCCTTTTAGGAAAACTAGTTGGTGGAGACACAAATTCAAAGACGTACATAGCAGGCTTCATGAATAGTATCCAACAACTGAAAAAAAAACAAAAACAAAAACAAAAAAAACCTAAACGGCCAACATTGAGGAACTGGGTCAATAAGTGAGGATCAAAAGACGAAACTGGGAAAAACTATTCTGCCATTTAAATCATGCTACACATTTGGACAGCTAAACAAATAATATGATTGGCTGAAACCTACATAGTTGAAAAAATATACTTTACCAGTATATAAACTGAGTATATACTAATATAAACAAATTTGGGTAAGTAAATGAAAAAGGAACAACCTTCTACCTTACCAAAGCATTCCAAAAAAGCATATAGAAAAATGAGGGAAATAGAAAGTCATCATTAGAACATCACAATAATAATTGTGGCAGGGTTAGGGGAGGAGCTGGCAAAAAGTTCCAGAAGAAAGGGCAATTTGCATAGTTTGAGATAATCTCTCCAAGATATTTACCAATAAAAAGGAGTTAGTCAAGCTTGGTGATACACACCTGAAAGTACTTAGAAGACTGATGAAGAAGGATTGCAACATGTTCAAGGCCAACCTGGGCTAATGGCAAAACGTGGTCTCCAAAAAGAGGGGGAGGTCGAGGAACAATGACTTACTGTAGCAGATACCATCTTACTCATGTGACCTAACTCAACATCATTGCCATGACATCCCTGGATGGATGAGTTAAGAGCATGATACTCCTTTGGTGGCATTCTTACCAAAATACAAACCTAATTCTTGTGGAATATTACTTTAACTATGTAAAGATGTGTTACATTTGTTTATGTTGCATTTGTTTATGTAAAGATGTGCTGCTTTGTCTGCCTGAGGCACCTGATTGGTCTAATTAAAGACTGAACGGCCAATAGCGAGGCAGTAGAGAGAATAAGTAGAAGGAGTAATCTAGGCTGAGGAAAAGAGAAAGAGGAGAGAGAATGGAGGAGACACCCTTGGCTAGCCAGGCAGGCAGCTGCCAGACAGACAGACATGGAGTAGGACATACAGAATGAAAGAAAGGTAAAAAGCCCCAAGGCAAAACATAAAGAGAAACAGGTTAGTTTAAGTTATAAGAGATACTGGGACAAGCAGAAGATAAGGCCAAGCATTCATAACTAATAAGTCTCCATGTCATGATTTGGGAGCTGGTTGATGGCCGAAATAAAAGCCTGCTACAAATTCTAGACATTGAAGAAAAAAACATATATCACAACTGGACCAAGGGCTGGAGAGATGGCTCAAGGGTTAAGGGAGCTTGCTGCTATTTTAGAAGACTCCAGTTCAGTCCTCAGCCCCCCATGTCACACAGCTCACAACCACTCCTAACTTCAGCTCCAGGGAACCCAACACGCTCTTCCCAGCCACCCTAGGTACCCACATACACATGACACACACAAACACACAAAATTTTGAAGTAAAAAGTAAATCTAAAAAGAGTTTCAAAAAATAGTTTCAAAGTAATAAAAAAAAAAGAAAGAAAGAAAAAGAATGACTGAGGAGCTGTTACATATAGGAGACTAACCAGCCAAGACATCTCAGTGCAACGTGAAATCTTGGACTGATTCCTGGAACAGAAAGGGGATAATTGTGGTTAAATTATAGAATAAAATATGGTTCTATTTGAATAAAATGATTGTAATATAGTTTTAAAAATGAAACGACATATGATCCTGTTGACCAAAGAAAACACCCCAAAGCACTGGTGAACCAATGTTGTTACAGCCGTGGAGGGAGGGGCAGAGTGGGTTCTCAAGGGCCTAAGACAAAGGTGCTATTCTTGCTTTCTCTATTGTCACAGGCTGTAACAGAGAGCAGATATGTAAAGTCAACGAAACCATGCATCCTGGCATTTCCTCTTCTAGAGGATCTAAGTTCTTGGCCGATGTCTCATTTCTCCTGCTGATGGTTTAATGAGGCCAAATGTTTGTAACAGGTGCTACCATCCAAGCAAGAATTCCACTGTTTGCAGCATTTGAGAGCCACCAGCAGACAGCTGGTCTCCCCGACCTTTACAAGAAATCAACTGTGTAAAGCATGCCATTCCCTCTTAAGTGAGCAAAGGTCCTCACCCCACCCCTTTTTACAGAGCAGTGCTGTCAGAAATGTTGAAGAAACACAGCTAAGCACTGCCACTTGGTAGCCAGAAGGGTGCCCCTAATGACCTTCACTCGGTAATGCCAGATCCTTGACTATACAGTGAAAAGAATTTCAGGACAAAACAGAGTGAATAAAATTGCCACCAAGCCTGATGATGACATGAACTCAATCCCCAGAGTCCACACTGGGAGAGGTGAGCTTCACAAGTCGTCCTCTTATCTCCCAGGTATAGTGCCGCACACAAGCAGCTCTCCTACACAAACACATACACACATAAAATAAATGAATGTAAAAACCTCTAAATGAAATTATAAAGTGGTTTTCTGGAACACTGTTCGGGTTTAGGGATGAGTATAATTAATTTAATTAAGCGCAAGACATCAATTGTTCTGGCCCTAATCGAGGATGGTTCATTGTTTAACTTAATCTTGACCCTCTGTAGACAAGCTTGATTTTATCTGAGAGACTCCTGACTCTCAGGTGGCAGGAAAAGCACTAACTGGATCTGAAGATGAAGGGCTCTTTTCTTCCCCATGCCCACTGACTTTTATTCATCTTTCTATATAGCCTCTAGTCTGTGCCATGTGACAAGGATGGGTATAAATCATCATATATGTGATGGACACTGTACAACACCAACAGTGAGCCCTGAGCTGATAGGCTCTGGGCACAGGTAACATGGTGTATCGATGCAGGTTCATCAGCTGTAACAGGCACACGTCTCTGGTACAGGACGCAGATGAAGCATGACAGAGGGAAAGTACAGGAACGTGTGTACCATCACTGAATTTTCCCATGTAACCAAATGCTCTAAGGAATGCATTGATTAACAAGCAAAGCTCCCCTCTTTTACCCAGTTCTTAACAAACCATTATATATATATGTACCTCAAATGCTAACAAAATGAACATCTGGAAAATTCTTTTAAGTAACTAAAAGGTCTTGTTTTCCATGAAACGAGTGTCCCTGTCTGGTCCAGGTGACCGAGGATCCCAGCTCGGGCTTCCAGCAGCACCTTGCACTGGCTAAAAGACCCAGGAGTTGAGTCTAGCCTGTGAATGTTGAGCCAGCCTTGGAATCAAGTTCATTCATCTCTACTAACCTGTGGAGTACTTCACAAAAGGATGGGGGGGGGGGAGCATCTCCAAAGTACAAAGAAGCAAAGAGCAAGGTAATCAAAAACCTTCTCCGTGCAGTGGGAAGTACCCATGACCACTTTCACAAACACTGTTCCTGCCCCAGCCTTCTGGACCCCTGGAGTTCACCGTTGTCTAAATATGTCTATGTATCTGAAATAACAATGAGCCATTGTGTCATTATCTATTACTTCAGTTTATTAAATAATGGAACAAGGTTTATGCCATACAATCCGACCATAAGAGCTTGAAATAGAAAAGCTTGTGGAAAATGTATATTCTTTATATAACACATACTGTTTATAGCACATGAATAAATACAGAGAACAGGAGCCACTTTTTATATCACAAACAACACAAACACAATCTCCTTCAACTTAGTTACAAATACTCCATATAGTTTTCACCATACTTAATCAAAATTCCAGCGGAAGTGTTAGGGCCACATCCTTTACGGCCACCACACACTTTAAGTTGTCTCTGGGTTAGGAACATCAACTTGTATTAACTCTAGGGGCAAGGAAAGGCAGGTTAAGACCCTGTCCTATAAGGCACTTAGGAAGTTGGCACCACCCTTGTCTGAAAATACTGCAATTTGCCTTAAAACATGCTGAAGTTTTACAGTAAAATTCAAGTTTCTTTTTATCCAGGTACAGACACACAAAATTTGAATAAACTGATAATACTGCCTGATATCTACTCTTTATATGATCTTCAAAGTGGACCTGTTTCTACTTTAGAAATTACCTTCATATTTTAAAAAGTGGTGGGGTTTTTTTTTGTTTGTTTTTGGCCAGTCCGTGGTAGTGCACTCAGGAGGCAGATGCAGGAGGATCTCTGTGAGTTTGAGGCCAGTCGGTCTTTAAAAAAAAAAAGAAGAAGAAGAGTTCCAGGATAGCTAGAACTGTTACAAAAATAAAACAATCAAGCAAAAAAATAGTTTGAAAAAACTTCAATCTTTCCAATTCAAGAGAAAGCCTCTGTGGAGTCTATCACTTAAGGGAATGTTCAGGTCAGAAGAAAAATCTCTCTCACACACAGCGGAGGTCAGCAGAAGCTCCGGTCCTTTACTGCCATCTAGTGGCTTTCTAGGGAGTTGTGGACTTTCTTCATCTCTGTGATGACACTGTCTTAGCTTTTACTTTTAGAAAGCAAACCCTGCTTCTCAGACTGTTTTTCAAAGAAAACATTAATAAAGAAGCCAAGATGAAAATGTACGAAAAAAAGCGCTCAACCTTCAAAGAAAGGAAAACCTGCACACCTCTGCCTCAAGAAGGAAGGAGCCCTACGGGACAGATACGGAATGCACCTGGCATTGTGGCCGCTGAGAGTTCCAGCTAGCCCTGAGACTTTCACAGGGTACCACCTGAAGAGACTGGCCTTCCTTCTAGAAATAGAAAGTTCTTTGCTCTTAGAGACATCTTTTGCTTTGAAAAGCATAAGAGGTTTAATCAGTCTCAGAAGGAACAAAAATAGAGGGGTGTTAAATACCTCTTTTCAGAAAGGAGATAAATAGGCGATAAAGCCGTCGCTCTGGGGTGGGGTAGGGCTCAGTGTGGGCAGATAAACAGGGTGAACAAGGGTTTGATCCCCAATATCACAAAAAAGAAACAGGAAGAAATAAATTATTTTTTAATTTCTAGGAAATTAACTAGGGTTTTTAGACAAACCCACTTTGAGCTAAAGTGAAGGCTAGAAGTCTAGAGACATCCCTCTACAAAAAGCAAAACACTTCACCTGCCGAGTTACTTAACAATGGCCTGGCCTTCAGTCAGGAGAACCCCGTGGTACCCAACTGTTTACTGTGAGTATAAACACACTCACCTTTTAGACAGCAGCCTTCCCTTCATCTGACACCTTCTTCATTCAGCATAACTATCCCCATTTGATCAATATGGAAATAATAAACTTCCATTAAAAACCATAGGGCAAATGGCTAATGGTACCTCACAAAGGTCGAGTCTTCAAAAGCTTAACCTCACTTACTGTAAGTGAAAGATTCTGCCCAAACAGAAACTACAAAGCAGTGCAATGTTCTAAAAATCTACTTCTGGCACTGTCAAGGTCTGGGGGTCGGGGAGGTGGAGGTGGGCTCCATCACTCCAGAGCCTTCTCAGAGCAGCAAAGCTGCTCTCCCAGAGGAAAACTGCACACGGTTCTGATTTCCCTGCAAGTTTTCTACAGCAAGAAGCATGTATTGTGTGCATCATCTTGGGTGTCAAAGAGCAAGTCCATGGTAAAGACTAGTGAGTACACGTCATGGTTTAATCTCTGAACTCGAATGAAAAGAGTCCAGTGCCAGCACATGACAATCTGAAGAACCCAGCCTTCACCCATCGCTCCCATCCTAGAAGCTGTGATGAGCTGTGCAGTGAGAAGCAGCCAGAAGCACGGGAGGCTCTACCATTGCGGATGCTGGCTTTTCAGAAGAATGTCTTGTGTAGCATGGACTGGTCACAAGTCCAGTTTCTTCAGCTGCTCATATGTCAAAAAGAACTGTGGTTATCGGTTAAGGTTGCCAAGAAAATGTCATGTTCCAAGCCCGGCACATAGAGCAGACAGACAACTCAGCTTCTCTACTAACCAATGCCTGCAGGTCGCTTGCCAAGGACACCATTCCACTAGAGTTCCATGCAGTGTCTCAGGTTATCTCCCCAGATGCCCAAGGTCAGCTCAGAATAGAGAGGGCAGAGCTGAGACCCATAAACCCCTCAGCCTTGGGCTCTTCGGGAATGATATGCATTCTTATTAGCAAAGACCTCACTGGGCAGAGTACAACAGAGCCCCCTGGAAGCTCTTCCCCAGTACTTCCCCATTAACAAGGAGAGGGGATGCCAACCCCAGCAGCCCTACCTCTAACTTCCTTCCGTGTCTACTGACCTACCCCTCCTTGCAGGCCACCTGGATGTCAAACACTTCCAGAGCCAAGTCAGGCCCACGTTCGGCAAGCAACCTACAGTAAGCATGCTTACACACTGATGGCACCCACATCCTTCCCCCGGAGAGCAGGGGTCCATCAATCGCATCACTAAGGAATCCCGAATACCTTGAACTCCTAGAGCAGATTCTAATGAAAATACCTTCCACTAGCAACACCACCCGACTAAGAGCCTTGTGTCAAATGATGAGACCCCATACTTCCTAAAGTAGAAATGGGATGGCTATTTCTTAGAATCAGAGGAACTCAAAAGGACAAAACTCACTTCTACATTTTAATTCATAAACAAAACAAACAGTATTCTTTAGTATCAGCCTTTTTGGATCAACCACAATGGAAAAGGATACAATGATATTCCAAGGACCAAGGCGCAACCAATTTGGCCAAAAACCCTTATATAGAGCAAAAAACCCTTCGTTCTTCCATGTCTATTAAAAAAAAAAAAAAAAAAAAAAAGCATTAACATCCCATTTTCCAATTATGTCGAATGCGTTAATAATGTGTCAAACTGGTATACTTTTTAGTCAAAACTAAATCCCAAGGTGAAGGATGCCCCAACCTCCGACTTAAATGGTGGAAGACAACTGAATTCCACAGCTGTCTCTGAATGAGCCTAGAGAAACCCAAGCTTGCCAAAGTGGTCTTTCCAACTGCCCTCAGTTGTGGTAAGAAGTGTCCCCATCCTGCTGCCCAGGCCACCACCCTCCCCTGCCCCACCACAGCCCATTGTGCTTAAGGTTGGTATAGCCAGCCAGTGTGTCGTGCCTATAGAGGTTACTATGTAACAAATAGAAGCTGCAGTTCCTAATGGAACTACCCATTGGCTGCTGGAGGCAGGGGATTCAGAAGATGAGGAAATACAACCATTGTTCTTTCCTGAGACCTATTCCAATCTAGATGCAAAGGATACAGGGAAATCAAATGTGTGAGTGGACTCAACAGGTTTTGGCTGATGCCATTTATAGACTGCAATTGTGTTTGTTTGTTTGTTTTGCAAGACAAAGCTTCTCTGTGTAGCCCTGGCTGGCCTTGAACTCACAGAGATCCACCTGCCTCTGCCTCCCGAGTGCTGGGATTAAAGGTGTGTGCAACCATCACCCATTACAGTATTCTTCCAATGAAAACCATCAGGGGCTGTGCACAAGGCTGAGCTCTTCTTGGCCATTAACTCTACTCAAATGCATAATATCACAAAGAACTGCTGAATATTTTCAGCTTTTGCAGGGAGCCGTAGGAAATGTACAGCAGTGACAAATAGTGTTTGGTAAGTCAACACACTTGGGGAGCCCTACTTGGCAAATCCATAGGTTATTGACTGTGAATAACTGGTTATTTTCTTTGCCCAATTTTCTCAGGTACCACTGCTACGCCTCCCTAATAAGAACAGCTGTGGGGTTCTTTCCACAGCCCTTTGGTGGTGTTTTACACTTGTAAAACATATAGCTGTGGATGATCAGGAAGATGATTTCTGCCTAGCTATATAGTTCTGATGAGTAGAAATAATACTAGGATATTTTATATCGCTCAGAGACTGACATAGGAGTCTCAGTCACAAAGACAGTCTTTTATACAGACAGCTAACTTCAGACTCCAGAACAAATTCAAAGCAGGCTGGTTGCCCCTGGAGACAATATCTGGTTGCCCCCTAGAGACAAATACACGATGTCATCTTCCCAGGTGTTGTTTTGCTGATTCAAGGTCAAAATAGAAGCAACTTTTATAAACATAACTCCTTGCAGCAATGGACCTTTCTGCACGTACTCCCCAACCAAGGTTCAGCCAACTGTTTACTGTCTGGGGACCCTCACCAACTTAGAGCTACGTGCATGGGTCAATGTGACATTCCTAGCCTAAGAGAAACTACGTGACTTACCTTGTGTTATGAGAATGGGTCTGGCCCTGAACATCTAACTTATAATTGTCCAGAGTTTGGCTGTGAGAGCAGGAGTGGCGACGTGGAGAGAGGAGACAGCTGTGGAGAAAGAAGTGTGAAAGAGCGAGAGACGTGTGAGAGAGTGAGAGTGGGTGAGGGGTGCGTGAATAATATAGAAGTGAGAGAGAGAGAGAGAGAGAGAGAGAGAGAGAGAGAGAGAGAGAGAGAGAGAGAGAGAGAGAGAGCTGTGGGGAAGAGCTGCTGCTGCTACACGGAGGAGCCGCACCTAGGAACTGTGTAAAATGCTGCATGGTGAGGAAGCTATGTAAATGAGATGTTTAGCTGTGTCTGTGTGGAGATTTGTGACTGCTTGGAGGTAAGGATGATAAAGCTGTATAGAAAAGAGATGAAGAAGAGAGAAGTAAAAGGTATGTCAAAGAAAGATGTGTAGTCACATGAAAAGAGATGTAATTAAATATAGAAATATGTAACTGAGCGGGAGAGGGACAAATGTGTGTAAAGAGACAGACTAAATTGAAGTCAAAGAGAAGGTCACTATCAGGAAAGCATGTGCTTGTTCCTTTTTTCTCAGGTTAGTGTGAGAGTGTGTGTTTAGCAGCAGAGAGTGTGTGTTTTCTTATTTACCCCTCAGAGAGAAAAGTCTACAACCCTCAGATAAGAATTTTTCCTTGGGGCTGGAGAGATAGCTCAGAGGTTAAGAGCACCACCGACTGCTCTTCCAGAGGTCCTGAGTTCAATTCCCAGCAACCACATGGTGGCTCACAACCATCCATTATGAGATCTGGTGCCCTCTTCTGGTGTGCAGATATACATGGAAGCAGAATGTTGTATACATAATTAATAAATAAAATATAAAAAAAAGAATTTTTCCTAAGCCCCCACTACTCTGAGGTCTTCTGTTTATTACCCTGAAGCAGATCTGGGAGATGGTCTCCACAGTCTGCATCAAGCTTTACCCAAAAAAAATGAAAAAAAATATTCATTTTATATGCTTACTCAGAATAAATAAAATAATAAATAAATGAAGTCTGTTTAAAGGGATTGATTAGAGACTTTGCTCGGCCTCTTTGTTCCTTAAAGGCTTCTGCACGCCAAACCGGCAGGCAGGGAGGATAAACCCCACACAAGGCAGGTAAACAAGAATTCAATGAGTAAGAAAACAGACTTAATTCTAAGTGGGGGCCATTCCCTTCCATGCCATCTGAGTTCCTAAACAAGCCAGGAATAAATAGCATTTCTGATAAAGATACCTTTGAGAGCACTTCCGCTTGTCTTCCCAAGTTTCCTATCTCTGCTTCATTAAAGCAACACTGGAATATCAGGGATGGAGCTCAGGCGCTGGAATCCTTGCCCAGCAAGTACAAAGCTGGTTCAGTCCCAAGCACCACATAAAACCCACTATGATGGCACATGCACCCGTAATCTCAGCCCTTGGGAGGTAGAGGCAGGAGGATCAGAAGTTCGTGGTCACACCCAGCTACCTACCAGGTTTGGGGGGAGTTAGATTATCTAAGATCCTGTCTCAAAAAAAGAAAAAGCTGGTGGGACAGCTCAGCAGGTAAAGCCACCTGCCGCAAATCATGGCAACCTGAACTTAATCAGTAGAATCCATAGGATGGAAGGAAAAACTGATCCGTCCCAGGCATCCTCTGACCTCTACCTGCTATAATCATGCCATGGTACAGTATGTGTACATAGCCAGCACCATCACCACCCACACCTCTGTCAACACAAAATAAATGTACTTTTAAAAATGTAAAGCAGGGAACTGGAGAGATGGCTCAGAGGTTAAGAGCACTGGCTGTTCTTCCAGAGGTCCTGAGTTCAATTCCCAGCACCCATGTGGTGGCTCACAGCCATCTGTAGTGGGATCTGGTGCCCCCTTCTGGCCTGCAGGTGTACATGCAGATAGAGTACCATATATACAAAATAAATGTTAAAAAACTATTTTAAAAAAACGTAAAGCAATCCTTGAAGACTAAGAAGCATTAGCACCATGCTGAGACCTGAAGCAAGTGTCCCTAAGCTTTGGCTGCTGGCAGGGAAGATAAACACTTTCCTCTGCTGAAACCAGTTCTCTAAGCTGTGGTCACATTGATGATGCTCTCTTGTGAGACACATCTGGACGGGATACTTATTCCGGTTTGACTCAAGAGGGAAAGGGTCTGCTTTGGAAAGGGACAGTTTTGTAACCACAGATAATGTTACTATTTTAGCATCCTTCCTAGCAGGGGAAAGAAAAGTATGTGGAAAATGAACTTTAATTTATAAAATTAAATCTACATCTTGGACTTTCAACCCCAGTGTGGTTGAAACTACAACATGATAACCAAAAATGGTATACGGTATGTCACACCAGGCACAGTGGCACATGCCTTTTATGTCAACGGAGGCAGGTGGATCTCGGACTACACAGCAAATTCCATGCCATTAGGGCTGCATAACTAAGACTCTGTTAAAAAAAAATAATATATGTCACATGTATCCCCCAAGGGCTGCATGGCCTCACCCATCTTAGTTTTAATGCTTGTCATAGTATAGTTACTTCAGTATGTGTGTGAGTGTGAGTGTGTGTGTGTGTTTAACTCACAATCCTACACAGACACTTATTCTCACCTGCAATAGGCAATCCAAGGTACCTTTGTAGCCAGAGCATCCGCCATCTCGAAGGACTCTTTGATTCATCATACGCGTTCTCACAACATCCACAGGGTTTGAGGCCAAAGCTCCCACCAGACCACAGGTGAAGCTGGAGCTATGGAAAAAACAGTATTGGAAAAGAAAGGGATTCCCACTCAAGTATAGCTACAAAAGGTGGGAGACAAGAGAGCTTCCTCCCAAAATTATCTTAAAGTAAATATAGCTACACCAAAAATGAGGTCCATGGGGCTGCAGACGGCTCATCAGTTAAGAGTACTCATTCTTACTAAGGACCCAGGTTCAGATCCCAGCACCTAATGGTGGCACACAGCCACCCCTAACTCCAGTTCCAGGGGATCTGATGCCCTGATCTCTGCAGGCGCATACACAGTGAACACACACACACACACACACACACACACACACACACACACAGGTAAAACACTCACACATGTAAAAACTAAGTCTAAAAATAAATAAATAAAGCACAAGATCGCCTCACTGCGTGTCCCCAGGGGGCTTGGGTTCTAGTACACTGTCGGTCTCACTAAACTGCCATCAGCCACACCAAGTATCATTGCTAAACTGAGTTGTATTTTGTCCAAAGCTGCCTGTGTACATAAGTAACTGTAAGCTGATTTACTTAACTTGCTGAGTTACATACAGCATAAAGCAGAATGGTTAGACTTTCACTTCCTTGCTGGAAAATCCTAATGTGAACATCGTGGAGAGCATCTGTACAACACTTCCGTTTCTTGGGCGGCAAACGCGCCTGCACGCACTGTAGATGCAGCTCTCTGAACCACCTTCCATCCTGAGTGCCACTCTGTTCCTGAACATTTTCTTTTTAGACTTTTTGAAACATGGTTTCTCTGTGTAACTGGCTGTCCTGGAACTCTCTTTATGGACCAGGCTGGCCTCAAACTCACAGAGATCCGCCTGCCTCAACCTCCCAAGTGCTGGGATTAACCCCGCTCCTGAACACTTCTGTTCAAACTAAACTCCGCTGACTTTCACTTCACTGCAGCTTTTATTTTATCAGTATCAACCAGCTCGGAGGTTTCCCCACCTCAGCATCCCTCACATGTTGAATTAACCATTCTTTGTTGTGGAGGTTGTGGTGCTCACACGAAGGTTTATTCATATTTGCAGCATTCAAGCTCCGCCTACTAGTCGTAACTAGTGCTCCCCCTAGTGGTGAAAATCAGCACATACGCCACACTTGCCTAAATGTCCCCGTCGAGACCGGCACTCAGCCCATCAATGGATTAAATGATCTACGACGTGTTCATATAAACGTGATACCTTGTAGTTATCAAAAACAAGTGAAGGGAAGAGAGATAGCTCAGCAGTTAAGAGGGTATACTGTTCTTATAGAATCCAAGTTAGAGCCCCAGCACCCATACCTGATGTTCACAACAGCCTGTGACCCCAGCTCTGCAGACACTTGCACCATGTGCATACACACAAACACATACACAAGCAATCAGAAGCAACTAAGCTGCACGAACAGACATGGGAATACATTTGGGATATGTTGTCACTTTCTCTTTCTTTCTCTGTGTGACCTGCCTCTGTCTCCCGAGCCAGGATTAAATGCATGCACCACCACCACCACACTATGGAAAACCAGCCTGGCCATGTTTTCACTGCTTTAAAAACAATATAATACAAAAATGACCTTACTTGCTTCTAAACTACATGTGATGTTTGTCCGCAAACATACTGTTTGCATACAGCTGCCTATGTAAAAGGCATAAAGACTTTTACCTCGTCTTGCTTGACTTCTGTATTATAATTTTTCAAATGAGAAAATATAATACTATAATATTTTCTCTAAAATTTGCATAAATTTACACAAAAATTTCACCCTAAGATAATGCATACCTAAAATATTAATTTTTGTCTATTTGTTTTTCAAGCCCTGGCTGTCTTGGAACTCGCTCTGTAGACCAGGCTGGCCTTGAACTCTCAGAGATCCACCTGCTTCTGCCTCCCTAGTGCTGAAATTAAGGGTATGTGCCACCACGGCCCAGCTAAAACATTAAATTTTCAAATCCATAAACATACAGAAAATGCGTAGAGACGGTGTCTCCCATCAGGCCTGAGAGTATCAGGTGCTTCTTGGTGATGTCATAGACTGGAAGCTCCACACCAACAACAATGGCAGCCCTCTGAGCCGTGAGTGACACACCCTGGGTAAAAACATGAGTCGGAAAATGGTTTTCACATCCCTGCAGAGAATGCCAGGGTACGGAGGCTCTACCCCACCCATTACTATTTCTGTCATTAGGTAGAAGTGTGGAGTAACAGGAAAAACGCTGTTAACAGAGTAAGAACTCAAAAGCTCTGGTGTCAGTTCTGACCCTGGTCAAACCAAGGCTAGGACAAGCCATCCGCAAATCCTCCAGTTCCTGTCACACTGAGGGCTAGCACAAGGTGATATTTAGGGTCTATTCTGTGAACCAATGAGTCAGGCATCATTGGGCTCCCAGGAAATAGCACTGTACATCAGCACTTGCCTGACCACAGACTTCACCTAAGCCATGAAACTGTATAGGTCAATCACCCAGTGGGATGGAGACCCAGGGACACTCTAAGAACGGAAACAACAAAAAGCAAGCATCAGATAAACAAAAACTGCCCAGCTTTCACAAAATCTCTTTATGTTCATTATCTGAAAGGCATCTGAAAACCACAACAGGGGCTGGAGAGATGGCTCAGCAGTTAAGAACATTGGCTGCTGCTCTCCCAGAGGTCCCAGGTTCAATTCCCAGCATCCACATGACAGCTCGCATCCATCTGGAACTCCAGTCCCAGGGGATCCAACACACTCACACAGGCACACATGCAGGCAAAACACCAATCAATGCTCATAAAATAAATTTTAAAAGAAGAAAACCACCAAATATTCCTCATGTTCACATTTTAAAGATGAATTAATAAACGCAGAAAATGGCATTCTTCTTACTCCCTAAGGACACATATTACAACGCAGTGAGGAGGAGGGGAGGGAAAAGCCAGCGTGTGGACTCTGTTCTGCAGGCTCACCTTCCACAGCCCTCTGGTCCCTTCCTGCTGGTAGATGTTAATGAAGTTGCCAATCATTCCCCCTTGAATGGCACTGTTCTGCGCTTGCATTCGGATCTACAGGTCACGGGAAAGAACAATGTAAGAAGGAAACTGGTCCATTCCCCACCCCCTCACCACCAAGGACTTAAGAAAACCACCCCAAGGGTACTTGGGGAAAACCAGCATAAACCTGACTGTGATGCTCCCTTCAAATACCCTTGGTAGACCAAAGGCATAGGTTGGCCCTTAGCAACCCCAGAGTTTCAAAGGCATTGTGTTAAGTCTTGGGTTTTTTTCTTTTCTGTCTTTCTTTTTTTGGGGGGACCATCTGTGAGTTAATGAGAAGGAAAAAGATAGGACACACCACCTACCCTCCCACCCCCCCAGACATTGTTTCTCTGCGTAGTCCTGGCTGTCCTGGAACTCGCTCTGGCTTTAGAAACCGGTGAGAGTTACCACCCAGTGCACTCAGCTGCAGTAAATTACAGCAAGCTTAATTCTTAAATAGCTCCAAGTCGCAATTATTTCCAACTTGTCAAAGATATGCAAATAAGCTTTCTGACAGGATGCTGTTACACTTTCTTACACTCGAACTTCCACAGTTCACACAGCTCAGGAGAGCCACATGACTGAGATGCCACAGTTACATGGAGTGTTCAATGGAACCCTTTGTCTTAAGAGTGAAGAGGTGAGCTGGGCATTGGTGGTGCACACCTTTAATCCCAGAACTCTGGAGACAGAGGCAGGAGGATCTCTGTGAGTTCAAGGCCAGCCTAGTCTACAGGGTGAATTTCAAAACAACCAGGTCTACAGAAAGATAGTGTCTTGAAAAACCAAAAGAAAAAAGGAAATAAAGGGGTATGGATATATGTGCTACACCTTGTCTTTAGAGCATGTATTAACTACTGTGCACCCAACATGTTCCCAGCATGCAACAGTTTTGATGTTTGTCAGAATCTATTAGTGAAGGCTCAGAGGGCAGGGCCTCCCTTATACATTTGGTACGCTAGCACAGAGTCCAAGGAACAGAGTCTTGTTAAACAATGAGAATGGAAAAGGGAATTTCAGATGGCATTTGTAGGGGAAGCTGTAGCCACGCCTACTTAGGGGCTGGCTACATGTGTGCCTGACCACGCTTGTGAGGGCGTGGGCAGAGTGACGTAGGGTGACTGCATTTGCTCTTTCGGTTTCACTTTGCTTCTTGCTGTACAGACTACTGCCGTGCCTGGCTAGGTCGCTCTGTAAGTAAGGCTTTTCCCTATTAAATACCCTTATATTTCTACCTGACTCCGTATTGGTAATTTCCCACTATAGGCATTCCTATGGGATTTTTTAAATTACTCATCATTCCTTTGCCTTAATCCAAAACAGATTAGTTTCTATTCATTCTGTCCTCAACAGTTCAGCAATCAGTTGCTTCTAATTGTTATAGGTGATATATTTTCTTCCTTCCTTCCTTTCCCTTTCTTTCTTTCTTTCTTTCTTTCTTTCTTTCTTTCGTTCTCTCTTTTTCTTTTTTTGAGACAAAGTTTCTCTGTGTAACAGCCCTAGCTGTCCTAGAACTAGCTCTGTAGGCCAGGTTGGCAAGTGCTGAGATAAAAGGTGTGTGCCGCCACCACCTAGCAGGTGACATATTTTTGTTTGTATTTCCAGATATAAAGGTAGTAGGAAACAAAACATGTTCAGAAATACTAATGAGGGGCTGGAGAGACACCTCAGTGGTTAACAGCACTTGAGCTGGGACCTGGGTTCCAACACCTATGTAATGGCTAACAATGTCTGTAACTCCAGTTCTAGAGGATCAGATGCCCTCTCCTGGCCTCTGTAGGCACTGCACACATACGGTGCAGACATACATACAGGCAAAACAACCATATAAATAAAATAAAAAATAAATCTTGTCGGGAGTTGGTGGTAACACACCTTTAATCCTAGCACTCGGGAGGCAGAGGCAGGCAGATCTCTGTGAGTTCAAGGCCAGCCTGATCTACAGAGCAAGTTCCAGGACAGGCTCCAAAGCAATAAAGACAAATGCTGTCTCGAAAAAACCAAAAAAAAATAATAATAATAATAAAAATAAACAAATAATCTTTAAAAAAATTTAACAAGAAGCCTAGATTTATGTGATTTTGTGTAGCCCTTGCAGTTCTTAATGAACCAACAAAGTATTTTCTATGAAAAACAAAAATCAAATATATATAAAGAAAAGTTTTTTTTAACCTCTTAATCACTAAAATCTTTATCTTCAAAATGAACCCTATGTAATATTAACCTCATCTGTATCAGTGAGAAATCCATTTAGTGGCTATTTAAAAGTTTGAAATTCGGCATGCATAGTGTGGTGGTTTGAAGAAAGAAAATGGCCCCTACAGGCTCACAGGGAGTGGCACTATTAGGAATTGTGGCTTTGCTAGAGTAGTTGTGGCTCTATTTGAGTAGGTGTGGCTTTGCTGTAGACACTGTGTCACTAGGGGAGGGCTTTGAAGTCTCTGAAGCTCAAGCCAGGTCTAGTGTGTCTCAGCCTCTTCCTGCCGCCTGAGGATCCATATGCAGAAGTCTCAGATACCTCTCCATCTTGTGACCATGCTTCCTGCCATGACGAATGGACTAAACCTCTGAAACTGTAAGCCAGCCCCAACTAAATGCTTTCCTTTACAAGAGTTGCCATGGTCATGGTATCTGTTCACAGCAACAAAACCCTAACCAAGATACACAGCTTGTTACATTTGCAGAGTCTCATTATCTGAATGCTGTCCCCAGTTTAACAAACAAACAAACAAACAAAAACTGTAGAATATGCCTCTGTGATGCAGCCAGCACTTACTTTCAAAACATCGGTCGGATTAGCAATAGCTGAAGATATGACTCCAGACAGAATTCCACATACAACATTGATCAGCAGGGTTTCATCTATAAACAAAGATGAGTTTTTCCTGTAAATGACTCCAATATAGATAATGTAATCCGTTACACTCTACCTGTTCACCTGAAGATAAATGAATGCTCTGTGAATCGAGCAATTAATTTTAAAATAATTATCTACGACTCGTTTTCCACATGAAGATGTAGTTCAACTACCTTGTAAATATTCATGTTTATCCCACTCATGTTACTACCAGAGCTCTTAATAGTAAGACACGTACTCATTTAGTGCGCTCCTGAAAATGGGTGATAATTCATTCAATTTTAGAAAATTTTCAGTTGATAAGTGGAAACAATACAGCACGTAGCTAAGCATCTTGAACATAAGAGACAAACACTCCTAGCTAAAGAGCTACTGACAACTGATGACTTCTGGGCTAGGGAGAGCTGCTTCCCTTTAAGAGAGCATATGGTCTTTGGTAGGTCAGCCACACTCCAGTGGATGGCCTCACATCCATGAGCACATGGCAGCACACATTAGGCTCTGGGTCCTAAAGAAATGAACATGATGTCGGGAGAGGGTGAGGAGGTAGGGATGGGTCTGGGAAGAGTATATTTAAAAATACAAAATATCTGTACAAAGGTTCTTTCTCTCAGCTCAGTGTGAGCATGGTTTGTTTACTCTTTGTACCTAGTCTTTTCCTTAGTGGTTGAAAATTAACCAAATAATTAAAAACCCATTCCAAAATGTCTGGAATAAAGCACTACTAACCCACTGACTGTCCCAGGAAAACAGGTTGCCACTCACCTTCTGGGCGTTCCACAGCTAATCGCTTCAAGCTCTGGTAAGTGCCAATCTTGATGGTTCCATAGGAAGCCTGCCGTAGCATCGCAGGCGCAATCCTGTCACATGGGCACACGGGCAGACAACGGCCAACTACGTGTCAGAAAATCTCAGCAAGACCCAAGTACAAAGACATATCAATTTACAGCTAAAATGCATTTCTTCTTTTTTTTTTCTTTTTTGTTTTTGGTTTTTTGGGTTTTTTTGTTTGTTTTTTGTTTTGATTTCTGAGACAAGGTCTCTCTATGTAGTCTTTCTGTCCTGGAGCTCAATACGTAGACCAGGCTGGTCTCAAACTCCCCTGCCTCTGCCTCCCTAGTATTGGGATTAAAGGCATGTGCCACCACACCCAGCTTAAAATGGATTTCTTAACACTGAAAACATAACAAAAACACAAGTAGGTCTTGAAATCAGAGGAAATTTTCGCTTCCTTAATGGAAGCTTGTGACTCCATACTTACCTTCGATGAGAACGCAAATATGGACCTAATTAAAAGCACAGACATCCCTTTCTGAGTAAAGAGCCTGGGAAGGCAGGTGCCTAACTCCTGGGGGACACGGTCAGGCTATTTCCTCTCTCTGTTTTTCCAATACAATACCAAGTGCAAGACAGAATCAGCAAACACAAGCCAAATGTCTCCATCCTAGACACCACCTCCCGTCCTCTGGGCAACCATCCCCCAGCTCCTCCTGCATGTCCTATCTCCTCCTGTAACCCTCTCCAAGGTGACCAGCCAGATAGACTACATGGCAGTTTCCACAGCTCATGTAACCTTTGCAGCACTTGCTCCTGGTCACCCTGTCTCCTTCCAGACCGGCTTTGCTATCACTCCTTCACGACTGTTCTCTAACCCACAGCATCCCACATACACCACCTGGGAGGTCCTCCAGATCCGCCCTTCCTCCTCCACACGCACCCCAGGAGGTCCTTATTCCCCAGGCTTCATGCTCATCCTAACAGATGACTTCTAAATCCAACCTCCCATACAGTTCTGAGGTTTCCAGGGCTGCCTACTCCTTCAATTTAGACATGCCACACATGCCCCTATCAGATGTCCTGCACTGAATTCACTCCTCCTTCTCTCAGTGCTAGCCCCCTACCTCCTGTCTCCTGTGGGATGGGGGTGGGGACTTCCAGCTACACACTGGCTAAACCCAGAAGTCCAGACCTTAGTGTTTGCCTCCTCCTTCTCACTACCTCTCCTACACAGCACCCTCATAAGAAGTCCCACCGTGCTGCTAGTCCTATAGTCTAAATAGTTTTCTTTTTTTTGTTGTTTTTAAGTTTATTTATTTAGTATGTATACAGTGTTCTGTCCACATATATTCCTGCATGCCAGAAGAGAGCACCCGGTCTCATTACATATGCCTGTGAGCCACCATGTGGTTGCTGGGAATTGAACTCAGGACCCCTGGAAGAGTAGCCAGTGCTCTTAACCTCTGAGCCATCTCTTCAGCCCCCTAAATAGTTTTCTAACCTGACTCTTCCTCTATCCTCAAGACCAAAACCTCAGCTCACATCCTCATAGTCTCTGCTCCCCCCATGATGCCCGTTTCTCAGGATTCTTGTCTTTTGACTCTTCCTCCCCTGGCAGCCATGTGACTTTCATATAATGGAGACCTGCTCATGCCAGTCTTTCTGTGAAAAACCCTTCAGTGGCTCTTGTCTACCACAGGCATAGCAAATTCAAGTGTTCATAGGCACCAGGCAGATGCCAGGGACGAGGGTGCAGGCCCTAGTCCACACACACACACACACACACACACACACACACACACACACACGAAAACACCCCCGACCAAAGCTACTACTGTCACAGTCCATGAATCTGGGCCTGGGGCTGCTCTTTTCCTTTCTCATTTTTTACCTTCAATTTCTCATTTTTCAAATATTGACATGGCTGAGCATGTTGGCACATGCCTATAATCAGGACGCTGAGGCAGGAGAATCATTTGAGTAGCTGCGGCAACACAACAAGACCTCTATGAGTTATGAGTGTATGAATGAATGAACAAATGAACGAATGAATGAATGAGTGTAAGTAAAATGTCTTGGCTCGATTTAAAAACAAAGACCTCGGGAGGAGGGATGGGGGTGAGGGGAGGGAGAGGGAGAAGAGACTTACATGTGAAACAAGCTTGTTCCCTAACTTGAACTAATAAAAAAAATTAAAAAAAAAAAAAAAGACCTCTGGAACTAGTGAATCCACGGATAGGCTTAGGGCAACCAGTGCGGGACAGATGCTGGGCATGGCATAAGCTGTCCATGTCCTGATGCTCTAATCACACTCTGGCTTCATCTCTTGCTATTCACCAGCTCCCAACATCTGTACTCCGAAACACGCGATACTGCGGGACTATGATGCTGCCGTGCTCTGCACGATTACACCTCCCCTCACTCTGTCTACCTAACTTCTTAGGCCTTCAAAGTCTGACTGTGTGCCTCCCAGATAAATGGAGTGGCTTTCCTGAAGAGCCCTGCTTCTCTGCCCTCAACACTGGGATGGACACCAGATACCACTGCAATCCCATTGCTGCATCTGCAGACCCGACCAATGACAGTTCACTGGAGTCTGTGATGCTCGGGTCCTCAGTGGTCCTCCCCATCCACGCTCACCCTTCTCCGTGCCCCGAGAGGCTGGTCCTTACAGACCACATCTCAGACAACCTTCCCACTGACTTCCAGGAGTCCAGCTAGTGGGAGAGGGAAAGAGGGAAGGGAAAAGGAGTGAGCAGCAGGACACACACACACACAGACAGACAGTGGGACACCTGCTAACCACAATCTTCTCCCACAAGGCCGCTCCTGACCTCTGGCACCATAACTAGGGTCACTTTGCCGGTTTCTAGGTACCTTGGTATCTATTAATTTGGTCACTTAAGCCTTAAAGAGTCCCTTAAGACAATCACCAAAGGGTGTTGTGTTCCCTACAGAAACGTCACTGATATATGGCCCAGGCTTTGTCTTGTTAACTTTCCCATCAAGCATTCAATGAATTTAAAAGTACTTCCAAGCCTTAACCATATGATAGTGTGTGTGTGTGTGTGTGTGTGCACATACACTTTCTTGAGGGAGGGAACAGTGTTAATTGAATGGAAAACAATATGAAGGACCTTAGCTTGAGCCATCTCTAAGAGATTATGAAGCAAGATGTTTCATATATCATAACTATCATATCAAGTACGATTTCCCTTCATTCTATGGAACAAAACCAGATGTGATGTATGTATTATACATTGACATGAAGACTACATGAGGTCTAACTTACTTCTGTACACTTGTGTATTCAGAGAACATATCAAATACTCATTTTTTTTAGGGAATTTAATTTTATTTTTTGAAATTAAAATTTAATTCTGTTTTTTTTTCTGTTCTTTATTTTTACAAGATAATATTTTTATCATGGTGAAAACCTTGTTACTTCAGAATAACTAAGGCTATTCTTTCAAAGGATTTAAAACTGTATAATGAAACATTTTAAACACATGTACTTCATATTGTTGTCTGTTTGTGAATAAAAAGTTTTACCAAAACCTTTGTTATATAACATATGTATTTAGATAAGAGTCAAGTTTGAAAGGAAAAGAATCTACCTTGCTAATTTCTCTTTTCAAATACACTCTAACGTCGATTTTTTTGCTCTACAAAGGTGATGTTTTAAATATCCATTTCAAAGGACACAGTTAAACACAAACACACAAAGAAGACTCACCCTGAATACAGCGCCCTCAGCCCTTCTTCTCGACCTATCCTCATCAGTGCGTGCAACATCCCGCGGTACCTGATTTCTCGGAAGTTGGCATCATTTGTCTGGCCTTGAATCTGGAGCCGGGTCTTAGTTAAATCAATTGGAAATGTACCTTAAAATGGTAAAGAAAAGAGGTTGGGGATTTAGCTTGGTGGTAGAGCACTTGCCTATCAAGCACAAGACCCAGGGTCTGGTCCTCAGCCCTGGGGGAAAAAAATGTTAAACAAAAAGAAAAAATATCCCCCTGAAAAAAGAAACATTAAGAAATGTCAGGTGGGACTGGAGAGATGGTTCAGCGGTTAAGAGCACTGACCGCCCTTCCAGAGGACTGGGGTTCAATTCCCAGCACCCACATGGCAGCTCACAACTGTCTGTAACTCCAGTTCCAGGGGATCTGACACCCTCACACCAATGCACCTAAAATAAAATTAAATAAGAAATGTTAGGGCTGGGGAAATAGATCACTAGGGAAAGTGCTTGCCTCATAAGCATAAAAACCTAAATTTGATTCCCAGACTCCATATAAAAAAAGCTGAGCATAGAGAACACTGGGAAAGTGAAGACAGGGGCTTGCTTGCTGGCCAGGCAGCCTAGTCTACTTAGCAAGTTCCAGGGAAGTAAGAGACCTGCCTCAAAAGAAAAAAAAAGTGGGACTCAAGGAATGACTCCCAAGGTTGCCTGCTGGCAGGCAGGCAGGCAGGCAGGCAGGCAGGCAGGCAAACAGACAGACAGACAGACAGACAGACAGACAGACACACACACACACACACACACACACACACACACACACACACACGCCTGCACACACAACATCGACAGACAGGCACAGTGGTGTATGCACCTATAATTCTAGAACTCAGGAAGCACAGAGGAGATTAGTTTGAGGACACACAGCAGCATCTTGTCTCAAACAAACAAAAGACAAACTATGTAGTCTTTTATATTTAAAAAAAAAGGGGGGAGGGAAACTAAAATAATTAACAAACCCAAAAAAATGAATAAACATCATTTGTTGTTTTCCTTCTGCTCTCATGTTGCTGATCAGGCCTTCAACTTACTATGTAGCTGAAGTTAGCTTTAAACTCCTGATCTGTTGGCCCCACCTCCCAAAATGCTGGGGTTACAGGTGTGTGCTACCATACTCAGGGAAACACTTATTTATGCCCCATCTTTTGTAGAAAGCTGAGGAGACTGCATTGCTATAGAACTTGAATAACGAGAATCATTTACACAAAGAGGAAATCCACTTAAAACCCCAAATATTATTCTTTATGTAAGAAAAGGCTAAGACTGGATTAAGTGGTTGAACAGAGGTTTTTAAAAGTTGAAGGAATTTTCACTTAGCAAGAAGTGTTTATAGTCTAAAATGAAATCTGACAAGGTAGGCAAAGGTCGATTTACATTGGACCCAATCATTTACCCACATATACACAATCCATCCTCACAGAGTAACTTTGGCTCAGTAAATGCAAGTTATTTCATTCAGGGAGAGGAAATCCATCTTCCAAAAGCCTCCATTCATTCACAGAAAGTGGGTAACCATGTACCTTGCAAGTCAACTAAGCCAGGAGAGTGTCCAAGCCAGCACAAGACACTCAGAAGCCAAGCAGTCAACAAGTGCTTTATAAACAGAACATAACCATAGGAGCAATGCAGCCCAACTGACGGGAACCCAACCAACGCCGTCAGAATGGAATGAAGGCCACACACAAAGTTAGAAAGTGATGGAGTATAGTCAACCTGTTCTGGTTCAGAGAAATCCCTGAAGCTTGCTAAACCTCTTTGCAGCCAAATGGATTAGTAGTGCCCAAATGGAGGAAAGGACGAGGCAGCAGGGTCAATCACCCAAATGGGAGTCTTGAAACCTGAAATGCTCCCAGCTTTCTTCCTCCTGTACTTTAAACCCCAAACTGCTAATAAGTATCCAAATAGCCAGTCTGTCTCAAAACAGCCCAAGAACACATGTCTGAAGATTGAGATTATTACTTCACACACTTGCATTCTGCACTCAAATGCCATGCACACCAAACGTAAAACTTGACAGCCATCAAACCCATCAGGAAAGGCTTCGGCGCCCAGGGCTCCTTACCACATTCCGCTGTGATCGAGGCCAGCCCTCCATACACAAAGGGCTTCCAGTTGAGGGCTGACATTCTCACCGTCTAGTCTCCTCGGATTTACTCAAACATCGCCTTCCACAGGTTTGCCTCCAGGTTTGTCCTGAATACAAAAGGGAAAAAAGATTAAAAACCAAAACGTCTTAGTCACTGTTACGTTGCTGTGGAGAGACACCATGACCACAGCAACTCTTATGAAGGAAAACATGTAATTGGGGGTTTGCTTACAGTTTCAGAGGTTTAGTCCATTATCATCACGGTGGGGAGCATGGCAGCATGCAGACACTGGAGAAGTAGCTGAGAGCTACATCCTGATCTACAGGATATAGACTGAACCTCAGAGCCAACCCCCAGTGACACACTTCCTCCAACAAGGCCACACCTCCTAATCCTTCTAATCCTTTCAAACAGTCCCACACCCTGGTGACTAAGCATTCACCTATGAGAGCCACTCTCATTCAAACTACCACATATAAATTCCCACACAGGCAGCTTCTGCTTCAAACTCCATCCCCAAACAACCCTATCAACGGCTGAGGCCTAGGCCCTGTGGTAGTTTGAATGAAAATGGCCCCCATAGGCTCATAGGGAATGGCACACTGAGGAGGTGTGGCCTTGTCGGAGGAAGTGTGTCACTAGGGGTGGGCACTAGGTTTCAAATGCTCTACCAGGCCCAGCGGCTCTCTCTCTTCCTGCTGCCTGCTGATCCAGATACAGAACTCTATGCTGCTTCTCCCACACTACGTCTGCCTGCACGCCACCGTGCTGATAATAGATTATGTGTGCCGTGATGATAATAAACTAAACCTCTGAAAGGTAAGCCAGCCCCAGTGAAAAGTTCCCCTTTATCAGGGTGGCTGCAGTTATGGTGTCTCAACTCATCACAGCAATAAAACCCTAAGACAGGCCCCAAACAAGCAATCTCTAACCTTACTTCTTCAGGGGCCTTAGCCTACCTTCTGCCAGACTGACACCCTGATACGTGTGCGCCCTTTCAGCACAGTGCAGAAGAGGCTGCTTTCTCGATGGTCTTATTTTATCTTAGATCTCTAATTCCTCATGCAATAAAGATTTACTATTCATTTGCCACTGTCTTAATGAGTCCCTAAGGGGAAACATACACCCCTCAGGAATACTAAAATTGGAAACTGCTATAAACTTAGATCAAATGAAAATTCCTTGACGAGAACACAGTCCACTTTGAGTGTGTACTCGGTAAATACCCACTCACTCCCTCCAGACGGTGTTATTAGCTTAGAAAGGAAAGGAGAGGCAGACCTCGGTCAGAAGTACACACTGGGTTCCTGTTGACTTCCTATGCTGTATGTTCTGCACCAACACCACCATCATCAGAAGAGTCAGCCCAACAAATAGCAGAGCACAGACTTACTTGTGTTTACTTTTGGACCATTTTATATATACATACATACATACATACACACACTTAATGTATTGTGATTCTTTTCACCCCCATTATCCTGTCTCCTCTTTCCCTCTGAACCCATTCTTCCCACCTAGTTGCCTAATGGCTACACCATTGAGAGAAAATGACACCCCCTCCTCCAGGAACCATGAGCAGTCCCTAGTTCCTCAGGAAGGGATGGGGCTTCAGTATCTCCTTTTCTATGCATGACGGGAAGGTGAGAACCCAATCTAATGCAGGTATCCATAAAGGCCGAATGTCCGTGGTTGCAAAAGCAATGACTATCTGGATGGCAGTGTTACATGACATTCTTCCCCACTGATCCAGAACTTACTGATCCAGCCGGGGTGGCTGGCCAGCGAGTCCCAGGGATCCAACTGTCTCTACTTCCCTGGCACTGGGACTGCATGCATGCATTACTACACCTGCCTTTTTACATGGGTCTGGGAATCAAGCATTTTGCCAACTGAGCTGTCTCCCCAGCCCTCCCCCACAATAAAACAATATACTCGAAATAAACCGAAGACTCTTTACTGTATTCACCACTCTATCTAGTCCTCCAAAACTCTCATTATCCCAAAAGGCTGCTCCCTCCCCTGCACAGCTTCTATATGACTGGTTTCGAGGAATGGGATGCTATACGAACACCAAGCACCTGTGTCGAAACATGGGCTTCTTTAGAAGTTCAGTCTTGAGAGAAGACCAAGCATCTGCATCATTCCTATAAATCAGGAAACTAAAGAAAAAATGGCCTCAGGGGACTCTGTGATTTACGCTTCTGCTCATAATAGCTATTTTTCAATATGACATTACAGTTGAGTCTTTTCATTCATCGGCAGGTCTTTTCTACAATTAAATATGTAAACATGGATATATGTAGACGGGCATATCTGTACATGCACACCCCTCCCCCCAAACACACACGAAACACAATAGCCTCCAAAATGCCAGCCAAATTTTACGGAAAAGAGATACTTACCTTTAATTTTTAACTACACTACCATAGCACCCTCATGCTTTGTCACTAATTAACTTTCTGGCTTTCTGTTGCTATTTTTGAGCTATCATTAATTCTTAAGTTTTAATATTAAGTGTTTTTTCTTCTGTTGGCTTTGGCTGTGGCTTGTTTTGTTTTTAAGGCAGTCTCCTATGCCAGGCAGACCTGGATTTACTATGTAGACAAAGATGGCTGTTAACTTCTGACCCTCCTGCTTCCTGGAATTACAAATATGCATCATTCTACCTGGTTTTATGTAGTGCTGAGGACCAAACCCAGGCTCATGCATGCTAGGTGTGATGGTTAATCTTGGTTGTCACCTTCACCCACCTGGGAAGAGGTAACCTCTATTGAAAAATTGTTCTGTGGACATGTCTGTGAAGCATCTTCTTGATTACTAATTGATGCAGGAGGACCCAGCCTACTGTGAGAGGTAGCATGTCTGGGGAGGTGGGCCTGAGTTATAGAAGAGAGAATGTGAGCCTGGAAGCAGGCCAGTACAGTGTTCCTCTGACTTCTGCCTTTACTTCCTTTGAGGGTGGACTGTAACCTATCAGATGAAATAAAACCTTTCCTCCCCAAGTTGCTTTGGGCAGTGTTTTTTCTCATAGCAAGAGAAAACAAACTAGCATGAAAATTGGTACCAGGAGTAGGGTGTTACTGTGATTAACCCCACCATGTTGTTCTTTGGGGGGGGGTAATTTGGAACTCAGATTTTTTTTTTAAGATTTTATTTATTTATTATATATACAACATTCTGCTTCCATGTATATCTGCACACCAAAAGAGGGCACCAGATCTCATTACAGATGGTTGTGAGCCACCATGTGGTTGCTGGGAATTGAACTCAGGACCTCTGGAAGAGTAGTAGGTGCTCTTAACCTCTGAGCCATCTCTCCAGCCCAAGTACTCAGATTTTAACGAGTGATTGTTGTGGGAGCTTTAGAAGATAACGTTGACAATGGAGGCCTGGCTTGTAACATTTTAGAGGGAAATAAAGGGTCTATTAGGGTCACTCGTGCTATTTTGGATTAGGAATCTGCTTGCTGATCAGCTAAAGCTAAAGAAGCAACTTGAATAACAAGAGACCAGCCCCAACAAAGTGAAACCTTTTGTGTTTCACTGGGACAAGAGATGCTGGTCAGCTGGGACTAAAGAATCAGCTGTGACTAATAAGAGATCAGCCTCACTGATGTGAAATACTTGGGGAATTGTTTCTTTAGAATCACCACACAAGCTGCGGTCCAGGAAGGTAAGGTTGCATCTGAAGCTGCTATCTGGAACTGGGCAATATCTAAGGGTCATCCACCTGCTATTGGTTTTGAACGCATGAGGCAAGATTGAAGGGGTCATAGCAGCTGAGGCTAAGCAACATCCAGGAGAGGCCACTAGTGAAGGTCTAGGCTCAATTTCAGTGGAAACTCTGGGATACTGGAGATGCCAGGCCTGTGGAATGTCTGACATGGGCAATGGCAAATGTGGGGTTGAGCAGGCCTGAGCTGTGTGAGCTGCAGAAAGCACAGCTGGAGAAGTGGGGCTGCCCAAGCTTTCAGGAACAGAGGGACATGAATGAATGCCAGAGACTGGACACTGAGCTATAGAATCTAGATTTGTGATTTGCCTTGATCTGACTGTAACTATGTCCCAGCTCTCGGAATAAAAAAAGTAAATAACTTAGCTTTGGTTTTACAGGAACCCACAGTTAAGAGACTTTGAACTCTTAAAGAGATAGGGAACTTTCAAAGTGTTAAAATATTTTTTTTTTTAAGACTTGGTACTTAAAAAAATAAGCTGGTAGGCTGGAGAGATGGCTCAGAGGTTAAGAGCAGTGGCTGCTCTTCCAGAGGTTCTGAGTTCAATTCCCAGCAACCACAGGGTGGCTCACGACCATCTGTTCTGAGATCTGGTGCCCTCTTCTGGTGAGCAGATATACATGGAAGCGTAATGTTGTATACATAATAAATAAATAAAACCTTTAAATTTTTTTTTTAAAAAAGGGACTGGAGAGATGGCCCAGAGGTTAAGAGCACTGGCTGCTCTTCCAGAGGAGCTGGGTTCAATTCCCAATACCACATGGCAGCTCACAATTGTCTGTAACTCCACATCTGACACCTTTACACCAATGCATATAAAATAAAGTTAAATAAATTTTTTTAAAAAATCTTAAAAAAAGAAGAAGAAGAAGAAGCTGGCTTACGAAGAACCAGAACATCTTGGGACGATGGACAAGCATCCAAATAAAAAAGCCCCTGCTGAAGACTGGTGTTCAAAGACCACAGCAAATCACCAGAAGTTTGGTTATCTTGGGTTGTAACCTGTGTTCAGTAAACTAACCCAGTTGTGTCTAAGCTCTCTTAGAAGCACTCTCCCAGTGTATATTCTTCAACCTTCCGGTGAGGAGTGACTTTTCAGAGAACCCTAATTCTATATGGTGAAGGCCAGGATGGAGATGGGTGAGTCTGGGGAGCTTCTCAACTTGAGAACTAGCACAGGGATTACAACTCTGCAGACAGCCAGAGTCAAGTGGTGGCTGTAGATCACTTCCCATCAAGCCCTTCTGTTTGGCCGTACTCTCAAAGTCAGACAGAAACCCAGTGACCAGTTCTCTTTGCTACATCCCAAACACAACACTGATGTATCAACATCAGCTGTCATTATGGAATATCTAATGTCAGGCATGGCTACACATACACTTTCCACACA